ATAATAATAATAAAACTGATCATTGTTATAGTCATATTAATATTTAAATCACAATTGTTTTTTTAAGTCACATTGTAAAATTATCAGAAAAGTTGCAATTAGATTTTTTCCCCCAAATCGTGCAGCCCTCAGGATTAGTCCAAAACTGTAATTAGATTTAATGTGAAATGCAAAGGATCGTTTGGAAATGATTTCTGACACAGAAGCAGGAAATCAGCTCTTCTGCAACGCTGCATGTTTTAATCGCAACAGTGAGAACAGCAGGGAGTCGCTGCATTATCACTCATGCTTCCTCTTTAGTGATCTTAAGCCTCGTTTTTCTACATCAGCATCGTCCTACGTCTAATTACTGGTGTTTGCAAAGGCAAGCAACACTTTTCCTATTGCTCTACATAAGTGTCAATGCTTTTAACCCTAAATATTAAACTAGTGAGTAAATCATCGCACCATTTGTGCTTCAGTACCTCACATCATGCAGCTTTTGAGGAGACATAAATAAATCTTCTTAATCTTGACATGAATGAATAAGATGTATGCTTATTTTCTTTATACAAACCACTGATAACCATTGCAATACCACTAAACAATCGCCCTCTGTTAGCAGCGCTCATTACGATAGTGCTCAAGGGCCTATTAGAGGAACAGGTTCTTGTTGTCTAACTCAAATCAAATCACGAGAGTGAAAACAAGACAGACTGCCTTCAAATCGGACGCTAATTAAGTGCTAATGGGAGAAGTGGTGACTTAAGTGGAGCAGGGAAACCAGATCAATCCGGAAAGTCATCGCCGGGAATAAACCACAAGAATTCAGACACTGACTGAATGCAATAGTTTACAAAGGAGAGCAAAAGCACAAAACAAATAAAACAGGGCTTTTAAACGGTCTATTGTATCGCGCTGGGAGCTTCAGCAGTGCTGTTTGCTCAAAGCAGGGTCAGACAATGACAGTGACACTTGTGAAAACAGCAAGATCTTTGCCAAACCACAATTTACCTTCACACCGCTTAAGTGACCTACGTCTTACTGACATCTTATAGCATAAATACAAAACAATTTTGCTTTCAGAAAGCATAAACGGATTTCCAAATTAATTATTTACCGATTTATTTTATTGTGAATTAAAAATATGTCACGCAATACACAACTTCATAAATTAGACTGGATTGACAGTAATGCTCAACTTTCCTTTAAGAATAAAACCTTTTAAAAGGGATATAAACAGCTGATATAAATAATCATAACTGTGTATTATTTTATGATTGTTATGAAACTGCTCCTTTTAAAAACAGGACGATTAAAACAGAAAGTAAATTGTGCTAAACTACAATTTACGTTTACACCATTTTAACCACCCAAGATTTCTATAATCTAGCACAAACACAAAACTATTTTATTTTAAACACAAAAATTTAATTATTTTACTCCTTTAGTTTATGTTATTGTGAATTAAAAATGTGATACTCTTATTTTCTTATAAGGAGGACACACTACATATGTAAATATCTATAATTATAATTAAATATTAATATTACTCATATCAAGACTGTTATGTAGTAATATAACTCCCCTAATAATCATAACTGTGTATTATTTTATGATTGTTATGAAACTGCTCCTTTTAAAAACAGGACGATTAAAACAGAAAGTAAATTGTGCTAAACTACGATTTACGTTTACACCATTTTAATGATTTCTATAATCTAGCACAAACACAAAACTATTTTATTTTAAACACAAAAATGTAATTATTTTACTCCTTTAGTTTATGTTATTGTGAATTAAAAATGTGATACTCTTATTTTCTTATAAGGAGGACACACTACATATGTAAATATCTATAATTATAATTAAATATTAATATTACTCATATCAAGACTGTTATGTAGTAATATAACTCCCCTGGGGTACATAAGCAGCATTGTTTCTAAACTAAATGACAGTATTTAAGTGCATAAGACACACTTTAGGAGTAAAGTTATTAAATCAATCATCTTATTTTAATATCACAGCTGTTAAGAAACACCAGGCCTTCAGCACATAAACTAATCAAACTACTCGTTATAACTATATAAACCTGACGAGGGGATTAGTTTAGCCTAAACTATGCTTATCCTAGATTAAATCTGGATTAAACTGAATTACTGACATTTAGTCATTCGGACAAAATCAAATCGGTTTTGGGGATGTTTACATTACGGCTAGCTGCTAGCCGTTAGCCTGACCACAGCAGTGCAATTACACCTGACAGCATACAATACGGTGTTTTAATCAGTCAGAATGAGCTGCTTCTGTCTAAACAATGGCATGTAATTGCCATAAGAGTCGTGTTATTGTTTCACGAGTGATTCAGAAGAGCAAACTCGATCTGTTAGCATCCAAGCTCAGTGTAGCTTCAGAACCCATTGATTAACACGGGCGATGCTAGCAGGCTAACATTAGCACTAGCCTCGATGCTAACGGCTAGCAGTCGCGCAGCTGTCAGTCCTCATCTTACCTCACGAGTCCGGGGTGATGTGTCGCATCCTCACGAGCGCATCCCGCGCACCGGCGGCGACCATCTGGAGCATCTCCCGGACACAACGGCACGGCGCCGGTGAGATCCCGCTCTCGCTGTCAGTCTGTCTGTGTGTGTACGAGTGTGAGCGAGCGGATCCTGCTCTTTTTCCGATTATTACCCAGCATGCATCATGCGCTGGTGTGGCACTTCTGGACTCTCATGTTGATTGGGTGAGGCCAACTAAACTAAACCCAGCACTCAGATATGACCAGCCTCATGTGAGCAAAAAGGCTGCTACGTATTTTTATTCACAAAGACGCAGTGTCTACTGTGAGAAAATAATATTATAAATATGTGTAAAATTTATCATTTTTCTACTCACTATACTACTGTACTATTCTATGTATTATAAAAAATATTAATATATTAATGGCATTTTTAAATGTATATGAATATTTTTTTTATTATTTAGTTTAGTCAGTTATTGAGTAATTTATTCTTTTAAATTAATATTAAATTAATTCATCTTACTTTTTATTTATTTAATTTTATTTTTATACTGCTTTGCCTAAAGACCCAATTTATACTGCGAAAAGATAACATTATAAAATTAAATTTAATCTGGAAAATATCAAGTTTCTATTAAAATAGATTACGTTTTTTACTATTAGCATATAGTACTTTACTGTTCCATGTATTATTTATTTGTTTATTTTAATGTCATTTTTACATCTATTTATTTTAATCTATTTTTTATTTTATTTTAGTTAGGTAGTTAATTTATTTGTTCTATTCAATTCTACTTATTTATTTTTATTTATTTTAATCTCATTTTATCCTACTATTTATTATTTAATCTCTTTATTTATTGTTTTAATCTACTTTTAAAAATCTATTTTAATTTTAATTTTACACTGCTTTGCCTAAAGACCCAATTTATATATTATAAATATGAATTAAGTTGAATTAAGCTTGCATTGTTGTTTTATACTTGCTATAGAACTGTGTTGTTATTTGTACTATTTATTTGTTATTTTTATCTATTATCTATCTATCGTTAGTCTGTAACATGCAGTACAATTAAGAAACAGCTCTACTATAAGATGTAATCATCAGGAAGCAGAGCAGAGATAAGAAAGCCAACAGGAAAACCGAAGGCAAGACTGTAACAGCACAATATGCAGGAAGACCACAAGCACACAATTAAAACCATCCAGAATGGAGGAGAAAGTTTCAAGTAACAGGAATGCATTACACCAGTCAGTTGCATGTTTGAAATATCTTTCTGTATATACCAAAAACCAAACCTCAGCATAACTAAACTTAAGAACATGTTATACTGTATTGGTCAATAGTGTGTCCGGCCCTGCTGCAATCAGCCATCATCACCACTGACAATACAATATCATTAATTAGAAGCCTTTATTAATCAGGAACAATGTGTGTACAATCAAGACACACCGTGTGCTCAGAGACAATAAATACACAAAAAGCGCTGGAATGCAATGATTTTCTCCCTGATTTTATGCTGGTCTCAAGTATCAAGTATCATCAGCGGTTCATCACATCATCTCGTTAACACAGCTAATCATAAAATGCATTGCTTTTAAGTATGTTTAGGTGCTTGTCAATGGAATTACAATGGAAAGATCACTATTGCTGCAACTCTCACAGCACCGTTTAGTTTATAAACGCGTATTTAGGAAGTAAATTAACCTTAAAATAAATTAATAAATTCTGGCAGTACGTTCTTAAATAGCTATTGACTGAAGCTGTACGCTTTCAAGCGCTCTGTTGTTAGTTCAGCATCTGTATTTTTGTCACTATTGACGGCAACATTCATCTTACATTTCTCCATTTCTCTCATCTCCACTTTAACGCCGTAAAGTCAACATGAAATCCAAACGGACCGTTTTTGCTTTCTGAATGCATGCTCTTGGTCTTATTGTGATTGACTTTAATGGTATGTTTAATATTTTGTCTCATATCTCTACTGCTGTCACTTACGAGAGTGCTACAGGGATGACGTATTTTTGTAAGCCAATTTGGTTAATTTTTGTTGGCTCATTGTCCTGAAGTCAATGCTTTTTTCTTTTTTTTTTTGAATGGGTTTTTGGTTAAACGCCTAAAATAAGATCTGTGTTGAACACAAGCTCAGGATATGTTCACGTTTTAATGCGGTTGCTAACAAGTGGCTCAATGGGCTACAAAGGCTGTCAGGGACATTAAATGTCATCAAGCCAACCAGGTAACTCATCTACTCACTAGTCGCTTTCACAGCCTCATTGTGCTCTCGTGAACTGTTCGAACTCAAACTTTCAGGGAAATGTTTTTAAAGAAAGACTGAAAGAGCTGTATGAATCTTAGTGATGGTGATGTTGAAGTCACACGATCACTTTTTAGTTCGTTTGCACTTGCACCGTTTTTTTTTTTACTGTTGGCGATTTTATTTAGAATTCAAAATTTATCATAATTAACAAAACATGTAAAAAATCATAAACATTTGTAGGTCACAGAGCTTATTTTCTGCAATAATCCAAAAAATCCTATTGGGTTTTTGTCAAAGTACCAGGATGATGCATTGCAAACTTATGGGTCGGACTACAAAAATACGTCACGTAACCAACAGCCACATAGTTATTTAGCCAATCTTCTAGTACTGAACACCCACTTTTCGTAATCCTGATGGAAGGAAATCAAAGCCACTCTACGTTTTTTCTATTTTAATATCCTGTTGCACTCAAAAAACAAAATAAATGGGTTGCAAATGGTGTTTCATGTTGCCTACAGCGAATTGTGATGCTCATAAAAATAAATGCCTCCTTATAGCTCAAAATGCGGTTTCAAGTTGAGTTCAATCATCAGTTCTAGATGATTCTGAAGCGTCCTTCAGTATCGCAGACAGTCTTTAATGCTCAGAACGGATGGGCTGGTGGGGAAGCTGCTTTCATGTGACGCAGCAGACGTCAGTTGAGCTTGGTTATGGTCAGACTGCCGCTGATCTGTATGGTGTCGATGGCCGCCAGCGGCGTCACGCGATGGTAGAAGTCAATGAGCTGATGGCCGTCCACCAGCACACGGAAGCGCGGGTGCTCACAATGGATTTCAACCTGAACAACAACACAGAGAGAAAACAAACGCCATTAGAACAGGAGACTCGGCAAATTAATTCAGCTACAACTTCACATTGCATTTTCATGTTCCTGTCTAATATGTGTGTTCCGGCTGTTTAGTAAGGACCATGTGACATAAATGGTTATTTTGCCTGTTTATTTGTTGAATATTCACAAGTCACTCTATAGATTTACATTTAAGCAATTGGCAGACGCTTCTATTTAAATGAATTAACATTGCATTCAAGACGTTGCACAGTGGTGTTCAGTTGGCATGGCCCTAAACCAGCCTAAAATAAACCTATAAAGCTGACTATATCATATTTGATACGCAAAGGTCTCTAAAGATAAACATGATCAAAACTTTGCTGTTGCACACAATCTACTACATGCCTTCTGTCGTTTGGTTGATAGATTAGACTTTTTAAGCAAGTAAAATGCCTTTTAGTGTGATTGTAAAAACGTCCCCCAAGTCAGTATCAAATATGATCATCAGGCTTTTGAGGAACGTTTATTTGTTTATCTCTCAAACATCAATGTAATGCATTGAGTTATACGTTTCAAAACTAAAGAGCTTTGATCATAAAACTAAGCAAGACACATTATTGGAGATATAGAGTGACGAAGATACTTGTATCATTTTTTGTAAGTATCTGCTATACTGTTATAAAGATCTCATTGATTTACATTACAAGCTATCCGAATTTTATCTTACTTTTTGTCCTTATAAACATCAGGAACTGCACCAAATTGCAAATTTTTCCTTAGTTTGGGCCCTTTTCCTCGATATTTTCACTACATCATACTATATGAGCCATAAAAGCCTGATGTATCAAATATGATATTCAACAAAAAACGCATGCAAACTTTTAAATGTTCCATCAAATAAAAAGATTTTCTGACTATTATTACATATGTCAGGGTTTATAGGTTTAACAAGCCCTTATTATCACCAACAAGTCAACTATTTAGTAGTAGACAGCCAACCATTCAGTTTTGCAAGTGCGTATCTCTACACAACATATGACTTCATTCAGCTGAGTTCAGATGATGGTGATGAAGACACTGACCCTGAAAGGCTGCTCTGCGATGAAGGGGAAGTAGGGTATTGACCTCTCCTCCTCGCCCCAGCTATCAGAAATGCAGGCGTTTCGCAAAATCTCCCGGTCTTCGAACTGTACGCACATATCCAGAGCGACGTCCCCGCAGCCGCACGTCAGACTGATGTCAAAACTGCCCGAGAGAGAGAGAGCAGAAACATTCAACATTGAGTTCAAATTAGCAACTGAATGAACCGAAACAACAGAATACAGGAGGTCATCGTCGAGACGCTGCTTTTCTGTCAAACCTCATTCCTAGTTAAGTAGCTAGAGGCTTTGATCGCTTAAGTTATACAGATACGATGAAGCACATGACAGCTGTGTCTCTCAGGGTGTGTTCCGCACGTGTGTGAGCACTTACAGGTGTGTGTGTGTGTGTGTGTGACATAAGCTACCTGTCCGGATCTGCGTTCACGACGCCCATGATCGTGATTTTCTTCCCCGGCCTCATTCCTCCCCGGATGCCGCCGCAGAACGGCACGGCCTGTCAAACACAGCACAGCGTCATGAGACAAAACAACATGCACATACAAACAAAACCCAGTCTGTCAGGTCATTACCAGTTTCTGTTGCTCATCTTTTTGTGGTGACGTACACAGAGGCTCCCCGAAAGAACTGCTCAGATTTCTGTTTCTCTGCAGCGGATAAAGCACACCCAGGAAGTGAAGAGGCAGCAGTTTGTGCAAAAAACATGCAAATTACACGTGTTGATATGATACACAGCACAGGTGGAAACACTGATTCACGTACAAATATCCAGCTAAACTGTAATGATACAGAGAACATACAAATGCACAAAATCCAAGCTGATTTTGGGTCTGGAGCTGTCAAGCCCCCAAAGGACGAAAAGCACCAAAAAATATTGCAAAAGTACCCCATATGAACTATATTCCAAGTCTTCTGAATTTAAACCATTGTTCATTGAAAATGTGTCCATGCTGCTGGATTATTTGTCCAGTTGGCAGGAGACTATCAAGACATCTAACGACCAATGACAATTGACATAACTGAAAACTAACTTGTGTTTATGCACCAAATTCGTTCCTCACATAAAATTATTGTGTGGCTTCATAATATAATTTCAATATAGCACATCAGTCGTACGCACTACTTTTTTTGTCATGCTTGAAGCTTGACAGCTACAGTCCCCATTCACTTCCATTGTAAGAGAAGCGTCAACCTTCTCCTAAACATCTCTTCTTGTGTTCCACAGAAAGTAAGTTCAGTACATTTATATAGGTTTGGAAAGACATATAATGAAAGTGAATGGAGACTGGAGCTATCAAGCCCCCGGAGGACAAAAAGCACCATAAAAATATCCTAACAGTACCCCATATTAACTATATCCCAAGTCTTTTGACTCTGAATCATTATTCACTGAAAATCTGTGCTCTCAAATCTCAGTACGCTTATGCATATTTAAAGTCAGGTAAATATAAAGACATCCAAGAACCAATGACATTTGCTATAACTGAAAACAAACTGTTTATGCACCAAATGTGTTCCTCACACAAAACTACTGTGTCGCTTCATAAGACAATACAGCACATGAGTCGTACGCAACCTACGTTTTTTTTTTTTTTTGCCATTGGAGCTCGACAGCTCCAGTCCCCATTCACTTCCATTGTAAAAGAAATGCTAACGTTCTGCTAAACATCACCTTTCGTGTATCACAGGATTAAGTAGGTTTATACATGCTTGGATTGGAATGACACGAGGGTAAGTAAATGATGGCTATTAATTTTTTGTATACTATTCCTTTAAAACATCAATACGTGCGTATTCTCTAGTCTAGTTCGCCCTGCTGACAAACTTGTTTCCGTGTGTGAAGCAGGACACACGGCTTCCAGTCCCCAGAATGAAAATACTCACAAGTTCCTGTCGGACTGCGCTCAACTCCGCCATCTTCCACGCAGATCCACCACGAGAAGCCCGAGCGCTCGGGTTCGGTTCGGTACGGAATCCAGGACACTGATCCGCTCGGTTCGCATGTATTATTTCCAGCAGGCAGCGGAGCAACACAGAAAGAAGCGTCCGTCCAATCAGCGCGCGCCCAGCAGGTTTTGCATTGTGACGTGGGCAGGATGTTAATCCGAGCGTTTGTCTTAAAATTTAATCAGCTCTAATGACTTTAATCTGTGTTTATCGCCCTGGGACTGAGAATATTGTTCTTTTACGTCATTATATAGTGTTTGAAGCGACTTTTAAAATATCAAGTTAAATATAATATTTGATCAGCATGTTCTTGCAAACTCAGCACCTGTTCAAAAACTCAAAAATTCCTACATTTGCAAGGTATATTTTGAAAATCAAGGTATGTTAATGCAGTGTATGAAAAAATGGACTGCCATCTAACTAAACTAAAAGTAACATGGTAGCCTACTACTGTATATTTTTGGACATTTTTTTAAATGTGCAACTAAACAAAATATATTTTAAGAATGTTTTGCAACCATTTTATGAAAACATTATTTCTGAACGTCCAGTTTTAATTTTTTTTAAATGTTTTTTTTTTTTGGTCATATGAAACTTTACATTTTTATGAGTTTGCAAACATTATGGGTTGGCTGGTTTTAGCTGGTCATCCAGCCTGGTCATAGCTGGTTTGCAGGCTGGTTTTAGAGGGTTTTGGACACTTCTTTAGCTGGTCAGGCTGGGAGACCAGCTGGAACAACCCGCTAAATCCAGCTTGGTCAGGTAAACCAGCTAAAACCAGCTACTTCCAGCTTAAACCATCTAGGACCAAGTTTAGGCTGTTTTTTTTTCGATGGATTACTTTTAAATGTTCTCTGAACAGAAAACAGGAAGTAAGTAACACGTTAAATGGACATCCAGCTAAAACGGCTCAGAAAAAGTGTTCTTTCAACAATGTATAAATACGTTTTTTGTGTGTGTTCTGATGTTAACAATGTTTTTTTGTTTGTTTTTTTTATTAATAGCCAGATAACGTTGAACAAGTATTCCATTAACTTTACTGGAAGAATGTTTGTTCATAACTTAGAGAACCTTGCCAGAACGTTAGCCAAACTTCTGAGAACGATCCCGGGAAACATTTAAGTGGCATGTGGCAAGCAACCCTAGTTACCCGACTGAAAAGGAAAATCAGAAATGAACTCTCTTTATAGACCTTATGTCGCTCCGCCCCTTTTCATCGCTGCGCTTGTTGTCTTCGGTCTTCCGTTTGTATTTCCACAGCGTGAAGGTAAGGTAGTACGAATTTATGAATGCACTGCTAGTTTTGAAATCTTCCCGGTCTACAGACGTTGTTATTATGATGACATCCGCTTTGAACATTAATAAAACTTTCCTTAACTCAGTGAGTGAATCCACTCAACCAGCTAATTACTCTGCAAAAACAGGAGTTCAAAGACAAAAAACTAAAGATTGTTTTTTTGACGCATAAGGTCTATATCTTATGAATTATTCTAATTTGTAATTTGTATTTGTCATAAATCTGAATGTGAACTCAAAAAAATATATATACATCAGATTGTTCCACGACCAAATTATATGAGCTTTGCTGTTAGAATCATTAATTTCAGCTAACTATCACTTGTTCCTACTTTTATTTCTCATTGGTAAGTTTAATGGATAAGGGACACATTGGAGACGTGTTTAAATGAAACTTAAAGGGGTCATATGATGCGATTTCAATTTTTCCTTTCTCTTTGGTGTTACAAGCTCTTGGTGCATAAAGAAGATCTGTAAAGTTGCAAAGACTAAAGTCTCAAATCCAAAGAGATATTCTTTATAAAAGTTAAGAGTTAACCACGCCTACCTAAAACGGCTCGTTCGAACATGCCCCCACATATCTACATCACTATGTGGGAAGATTTGCATAACACCGCCCAAATGTTCACACAAAGAAAGAAGGCATAACTTTTATTCTCACTGTAGTATCGTTGCCGCTGCAGCCATGTCGTGAAGACACTGTGTGCTACGTTGTGAAAGCGAAACTACTTTGTTTGGTCTTCCAAAAGAGGACGATATCCGCCAACAATAATGTACAGTATGTGGAAAATAATGTGTTTTTTGAACCTTAAACCGCATAAACACTTTTCATTACACCAAATACACAAATTAATGTTCTTTTTAGCAGCATCATATGACCCCTTTAACTGAGAACTCCATAAAGTCTCTCAATCTGTGAAAGAGCAGCTTCTGAGCAATCACCGTTCGATGTGTTTAATTCTAGACGTGTAGTCATAAACATTTAATAGCCTACATATATACAGCAGACAGATTCCACATGACCATTAAATATCAGTAAGATGATGAGATATAAATAATCTGAATTTAAACCATCTGTAGACTGGTAATTCCAGCCTACGGTTGCGTAAGAGTGAAATTTGTTAACATAAACTAATTTAGAGAAAAGCCAGAGGAAATGGAAGGAAAGGATTTGCAGACAGACGTTCGTTCCACTGAGCTGTAAAACATTCCGCTCTGTAACTCATTTATGCCGACGGAGGACTTTGGACTGAACGAAGTGGCATTTCACACAGTGAATTTTAAAGAAAGTCATATTTTGGCCGTTGTGATGTTCACAGGACTGATAAGCTGTCCGTCTAAATAAAGGTTAAAGGCAGCACAACAACAGACACCCGACACATATGTTGTGTTGTGAGTCTATATACAGCAGGTAGCAGTATAGAGCAATATTTTAGTTTCTGCCTTGACTTTACACCCACTAAAACACCTAATCTATATATCTATCTGTCTGTCTCTTTGTCTTTCTGTCTATCCATCTGTCTGTCTGTCTGTCTGTCTATCTATATATCTATCTGTCTGTCTGTCTATCTATCTATCCAACTGTCTGTCTACTTTTATATAAAAGAACATTTTTAAAATAGTAAACAAAACATATTATTATATATAACCACCAAGTACATGATGTTCTCTCTGCATGACCTACATCAACCAAAAGACTCTCAAAGCAAACTGATCTCCAAACATCTCCTCATTGCATTTGTTACCAACAACCTGCTGCCTTATTCAAGTTTAAGAGCATGTCAGTTTTATTTGAATCCTTTGTAAAGAGTTGTAAACTAAATCATAAAGCTCTGCTGTGTCATGGTTCACTGTTTTGTGCCTATGGTGCACGACCGGTTTGAGATCCATAGACTCACGAAGACAACAATCTAATGTGTTACACAGACAAAGACTTCTAATGCAATATCTCTCTTTTCTATCTCCTACGCCCAGCTATAGCACACACACTCAGACATCAGGACTCCGGCCAAGCAGTCCTTTTGTTTCCCTCCCCAGTCCAAGTTCAGGGTATTTAAAACACAGTGTAAACACACTCATACTCATGGCAACTGTCTCCATGACAGCATGACAACAAGCCCTTGGCAGCTGGAGTAACTTAATATTTGCCTTGCGTTAGCATAACATTGTCATTATGTAAGGCCGTGGCAGAGAGGCGGCGCGCACCCATTGAAGTTCAGAGCAGTCGGTGTGGGACGGTTGCTATGTTGCTGTGTGTTGAGTTGCAACTGTGGCAACAAACCCATGCTGAAGTACTTCCTTTAGAGGAACATCTGGTGAAAAAAAATGTCCCCGGGGCGTAATGTGCTCTGAGAGAGAGAGAGAGAGAGAGAGTGAGGGGTGGGCTGGACAGACAGACAGACGGTCAGACACAGACAGATATGAAATAGAACAGATGCAGATTAGTGTCTCTGCCAGGCTCATGGCTTTGCCTACGGCGGACGGATGAGGGAAGTGTTTGAATGCTGTTGCTGTGTGTTGGAATCTGACTCACTTTAAAGGGTAATTTGGGGATTGCTTGGTCTGAAGAGAGACTAAAGGTTAAACTGTGTGAGTAAACGCATGGCTTTCCCTGTTTGTGTTTGTGTGGACTACACCCATGACTACACCTGTGTCGATTCAACACAACACAATGACACCCTATCACTGCATGACAAACACTCGCTTTTATGGCTTGCTGTCGGACTGAACAACAATGATGTCACCCTGGGTTTTTTTTTACCACATTTTAAGATCTATTCTGTTCTATTATTTTCTATTCTATTTTGCTATATGTTTTTTAATCTATTGTGTTACATTCTATTCTATTCTGTTCTATAATGCCATATTATGCTACAAACTATTATATCTTATGCTATTATATGCCACATTCGTTTCTATTCTATTGTCTGTTTCTTCTGATCGAGTTTAATTTACATTCTATTCTATTATGCCATAATATGCTATTAATAATATTTATACTATTATATGCCACATTCTATCCTATTCTATTTTGCTAAGTGTTCTTAACTAATCTGTTTCTTCTAATCTAGTCTAATCTAGTCTAATTATACGTTATTATATTATGCCATATTATGCTACAGTCTATGTTTTATAATATTAAATGCCACATTCTATTGTATTGTATTCTATTCTATACTATTATTTTGCTATATGATCTAAACTAGTCTGTTTCTTCGAATATAGTCTAATTAACATTCTATTCTGTTCTATTCTATTTTGATATCATGTTCTAATCTAGTCAGTTTATTTCAGTCTGTTACATTCTATTCTATTCTGTTATGCTACAATTTTTATATCTCACTCATGCTATTGTATGCCACATTCCCTTCCCTTCTAATCTATTCTATTCTAGTACACTCTAACTTTGTTCTTTTGCGCTGTGCTATTCTTTAGCCTATTCCATTCTATTCTATTCTGTACTGTTAATTTAAATGGTGAAGATGTAAAGTTGCTAACAGAGTTATTTAAGTTGCTAACAATGTTAGGTATACAATGATATACTTCCTGCAACAAAAACAAAAGTAAAGTGGTGATCGTGAAAGACTAATGGGCTTGACTACATTACCCATAATCCGTCGCGGTGCGCTCTGTGATGTCATCTCTCACGCTTTGTAGACAGACACGGAGTGATTCTGGAGAGCTGTCAGTGCACGGAGACTGCTGGGGACATCCTGCCTCACTCCTTACTTGATTATTTTTGGCATTTTATCCGACAAACAGAACGACTGTTGTCATTTATTTCCGACAACTCCTGAGTCAGTCCACCTGGAGTTTCTTTAGTTTGGCGCATATCTGAGAAGGCACACTAAAAAGTCT